ATATCAAAAAAAAAAAGAAAAACTGGAGAATCTAAAATGTTTTTTGTTAAATACTCATCACTGGCATTTAGTTTTTTTCTCTTTTTTTTCCTGCTCTATTTGCAAAACAATACAACAAAAGATGTGTAGCTGAATGAGTGTTGGATAAATGTAGAGACGAGTATTTTAGCTACAGATGAATGATTTCTTAAAACATAAAAATATTGATGTTTACATACAAAAACATTTATCTACACAAAAAAAGGAGAGAAACTGTCTTTTGACACTGTTGAATAACGATTTCTAACAAAAAAGTAAATTTATTTTTACTCTTTCTTTTCGTACTTAACGATTAGCACGAAACAATCGCTAAATTGCATTCACAGCTTCAGTTTTCTTCGCTGTAGCCGTTGTCTTTATCTTCTTCTTCTTCTGCTTCATCTTCTCCTTCTTCTTTTCCCTCTTCATCTGCTTCTGCTTCTTGTTCTTCATCTTACTTTTAACCTTTTTTAATTCTATATCTGAAGTGTTATAAAGAAAAAAGTGCTTGAACAATGAGACGAGAAAAAAATGAAAAGATGACAAAAGAGCAGTAAAAAAAAGTTACTTCAACTAACATATAACATATAACTGAGATTAAACAATGATTATCATTGGTTAACCAAACTGAATGTTTGTATCTACCAAACCACTTCTAAGCTAGATGAGTTAGAAGGTAAAATTGACCAGAAAAAAAAACTAGTCAGTTATCAGAAACTGAAACAACGTTAACAAACGATCGAAATTTTGGTTTTGTTTTTTCCATTTGATTATCCGGAAGGCGGGAAAATACAGTAGTGCATTGGCTGTAATAAAACTATATCTTTCAAATTATCTTTTTTGCTAGTTATTTTCTTCTTTGTCTTACTGACTGCTGTAGTATTTGGGAGCAAAATTGAAGGAGGAGAGATGAGACCAGGATAGGGTTGAATGAGATAAGACGGAATGAAGGTGGGTAAGAGCAGTGGCTGATGACAACCATAAGACACGGAGGGTGGATGGCGAGGTGGCAAGCCAACAAGGCGCTTACACAGTTTAAGTGCTCAGTTAACAGGAGTGTTGGTGTTCAGACTTTGGGTATTATGTAAACAAAACTTCAACGTTTAGGATGAGCTCAAAACAAGAAAATAGAAGTTTTTCTTCTGGATTAAATAACGTACAAAAATCGGAAAAGAAAAGAAATTTTCTTTTGATTAATAAACAGAAAAAAAATTTTTTTTTGACTTTTTTAAAAGTTTTTTATAATTGTTGGAACAAAAAAGTGAGAAAGGTGAAGTTAGAAGACGATGAAAGAAGCAAAATGATCATCTTCATCATCATCGTCGTCATCATCACCATTCTGTCTTTTTTTCACCTAATGGTTACTTTTTTTATTCTTTCTTCCTCTTCTACTCTAGAAAAACCTATCTTTTGTAATAAAATTTAGCATGAGTAATTAAATTTTGACTAATTTTTACTTATTTGTAGGCAGAAAAAGTGTATTTATTTTTTTGTTACTGTGATATGTTTGTTGGTAATTTTTAATTTTTTATAAAACAATTATCAAAAATTTAAAATTGATTTATTTACTGTTAATTGTTACTGCTGTCGTTATTGCTGTTACTGTTGTTGGTATACTAATAGACGGATGAAATGCTGGTTCTGTGGGATCGGATATCGACTATTAGGTACCGAAATGAAATTCTCAAGTGTTTACTGTTGATACTTTTGATGCAGCTGTAGCAGCAGTAGCAGGCAGCGGATTTAATATTACCAGCACCACCATCGTCATCACCAGCAGCACCAACATCACCATCACCATCATCAAAACCAAAAGTGACAGCAAGAAGATCATTCTGCGTCAGTGTTATTCATTTGTTTTTTACATCTTTATTTGTTCAGTATTCACTGATTTATATGCAGAAGAAAAAAACCATTCTAGTTTATTCGACTTTTTTTTTCTGCTATCTGTAGTAAGGATATGTTTAGTTGTAGAGGAATTACTTAAACAGCTTTGATAGTTTTCTGCTCTGCTTCTTCGCCGCTTATTTTACTGTCAAGTTTAAAGTTGATCAATGTATAAGAGATGTTTAATTCCTTCTCTCTGATTTTTTGATGTGCACAAAATTTAGTTTAAAGACAAAAAAAAAAGACTTTTAAATAATTATTCTCTTAAAAATTGTCGCTTTCTTCTCAGGCGTGATAAACTGTCAGCTGCTGCTAAGATCCAGTTAAGCTTGAAAAGTTCTGGCGGTAATAAGTCGTAAAACAGCGTTTACGGATTTAATTTAGGGATTTGTTATACCTAATTATACTTTATTATCTGTAATTTTTAGTTTGCAAGGTTAAATTTTTACTGATACTTTTTATTTTAGTTAAATAATTTAATATTTAATGCAATAAAGTTTGAACAAAAAAATTTATATTGTTTTAACTTCATATTTGTATCGTTCTTTATCTGTGCTGCTAAATTATCATCAAACTTTTGCTACAGTTCCTAATTCTTCTTTCGTGTCTATTGAAGAAAAATAATATTTTCTTTTTCTGTATAAATTTTATTGACTTAGTTTTCTGTTAATGCTTTTAATCTACTTTACTGTATCGTGGAATTTACATTTTGGCCAACCAACGATAATATCGTTAAGTAAACTGTTTTACAAAACTGAAAAAAATTTTTTTTGACAAACTTAAATTATAGCATATATGATGAGCCACATTGAATAGACTTGAAATTCAAACATTTGAGAGAAAAAAAATTGTATAATTGTTTAAAGGGAAGAAGAACTTGAATTTGTCATATTGATAACAAATGTTTGGCAATTATTTGTATTAGCCTTACAAATAACAAACATGAAAAACACAAAAGCACACAACGTGTTTTGCACTCACATACCTAAAAGACCAGTCTTATAAGCGACATTGTATACGTAAACTATATAAAACTTCGTCTCATTTATCTTATGTCGTTTTTTCTAGTATTTTTTTATTGCTTGATCTAAAAAATTAGCAAAAAAAACAAACATACATATACTCAAGAGCTCATATTTCTGGTTCAGAAAAAGAGCTCTGTAATTTATTTTTTATACTTCCCTACCAATTACAGTTTAGATAATTAAAAAATATTTTTGAATAAAAGAGGTTTCTAAATTGATAGAACCAACCAAAAATTGTTACCATAAATTTGCTGTTTGTTTTCGATGACCAGACGTTACAACTTCTTTACCTGCTGTTTCTTTTATAAAGTAACGATAGGCAACAATCGTATATACTCTTCTTTCTTTTTTAACCACTTGTACTTCAACAAGAAAAAAAACGTAACAAAATGTAAATTTGTATTTATGAAGAAAAAATCTCGTTACTATTCAAAAGTTCTTCAATACAATTTCCAGTGTCTCTGATGGTCTTCAAGTTAGAACGCTTTACGTCATAAGACAGTTCTGTTGTCTGCACTCCATTCTAAAAAACCTATTCATCCATCTATCCTATCCATCCGTCCATCTATCTGCCCACAATGTCGTCTTCGCCCTCGTTGATTACTGCGTTCTCAAGATTCGCACTTCATCAACTTACTTTGCTTTCTTTGCTTTCACACTCTTTAACACGTCATCTCACTGCTGTTGCTGCTATTGCTACTGCTATTGACGTTTCGGGGTTATTCAAAACGAATACTGTTCTGATGCTTCTACAGTTGAAGACACTGTTAACGAATGAGGTCAATTAATTGTCATATACTGTACAAGTATCGCAATAAGATTTCAGATGACACTTACCATTTCTATCTCACTGCTCAAATTTTGTGCTTTTACCATAAGCAGAGTGGAGAAAAAAGCTTTGGTTATAGTTTTTGCTAAAGTTGGTCTAATGAAACTGTGTCGTGTGCTCCAATATTGGATCAAAAAATGTTTTTTTTTTTTTTTTTTTTTTTTTTTTTTTT